ATCCAACCCCTTACTATATTTTATGTCCCACACACTTTGACATTCCATCTACACTCTTAGTCATGTAGCCACCAACCACCCCAATTACTGCCCACACCAACTGCACATTCACCCGCTCAGTTACCCATCATTAACACTACCACCCACACTGGGCCACCGACACTGACACCCACAAGGTCACCATCACACCACCTCATTGCCTTCAGCCTCCATCCCTACACTCCTCCAACACCTAGCATCATAGGTATGTATGTAAATGAAAAATGACTTGTATACAGCCTCTCCTCACTTAGCAGCATACTTGTTTACCGATGCCTCGGACTTACAATGGGCTCTCTGACCAGTATACATACCTAAATAATATATATTAGAGCTGATTTCCTCTATTCTGTTTATTACAATATACAGTACACTACTGTATAAGCATTTAAGAATATACGAGAAATGTTATAAATGGTGCAAAAGTGACATTAAAACAGTATCAAAGATGGTTGACACAAACCCACTACCATTATAGTATGCTCCTCACTTAGCAACAAATTCATTTACCGATGTGACCTTGAGAATGAAACTCCTTCATTAAGTGAGGAGAAGCTGTGTAGGGCTTGCTACTATCTGAGGTTTTAGGCATCCGTGGCAGGTCTAGGAACATATCACCCATGGATATGGGGGGACCGCTGTATTGTATATTATAGTCTTATTTGAATTTTATTCGAATTGAGTAAAATGAAAAAGTGGCGGGTATACTACTTCACTTGCATTATTACTCCTACAGCTTGGCATTTTATGTAAATACAGAAACCCTAAATTTAATGGACTTTGAATATATGGGGCAAAATCTGCTGAGTCACTTGATTTGGAAATAATGAATAAAGTCCATTGATGACAGAATTGTCCATTATTGTTAGGATCACAACTAAGCAGTCTCATCTCTATCACCGCAATTACCATTACTGGCCACCTGCTTTCCCTTATTAGTCCAGTAAGTCTAGGGTTTACTCTATTGGCATACAATATTTTCTTGATAATGGTGCAGTGTGCAGTCAGTGCAGCATCTTTCCCCTCGGTGTCACTAGCACGTTAAGAGACCATACAATAAGTGTCAGGGGCCCGAGACTGTTCAACTGCCTCCCAGCATACATAAGGGGGATTACCAACAGACCCCTGGCAGTCTTCAAGCTGGCACTGGACAAGCACCTAAAGTCGGTTCCTGACCAGCCGGGCTGTGGCTCATACGTTGGTTTGCGTGCAGCCAGCAGCAACAGCCTGGTTGATCAGGCTCTGATCCACCAGGAGGCCTGGTCACAGACCGGGCCGCGGGGGCGTTGACCCCCGGAACTCTCTCCAGGTAAACTCCAGGTCATCACTGGGACCATCATAAAATCTTTCCCTCATCACCAGTACCGTCATACTATCTATACCAAATCTTAACAGTTGTTATATGGTAATATCAATACTTTCCTATTATTTACTGTATGTACACCTACCATCTGACTTACAACCAATTTCGGTTCCGAGAAACTGGTCGTAAGTCGAACTTTACTACTGAATATCAACAAAACATTTTTGTAATGACTTTATTTTATTGTTTTATTTTGGTATTTCATGTTTTACTTTACTTTTTATGCTGTTAGTACTGTATTTTATACTGTAAGGTTTAGGATAAACACTGTGTACAACACAAATAGTTGTTTATTTCCCAGAAATTTGGCATAAAAAACACGGTTGTAAGTTGATTGGTCATAAGTCGAGCAGGTCGTAAGTCGGATGGTAGGTGTATTATGTAGGCTATAATGTTTGTCTTGTAATAGTGTAAAAAAAAAAAAAAAAAAAAGAAAGTCCACAATCTCCCTCAGTCACCCTTCAAAAATAAATTCAATATAATTTTTATTATTTTTATTTTTAAGATTAACATTATTATTCCTGATATTATAATCTTTTCTTGCAGGTGATGGATAATCCTGGGCATAGTATATTTGGTGGGATCAGCTTGCACTTAGAGGGTATTACAACCCCTGATCTTGATGATGAACGAGAGCAAGAAGAATATCAAAGAGAGGAAGAAGAAGAAAATAAAAGGAGAGAAGAAGAAATTAAAAATATATTAGCTAATGCTTTCGATGATCTTGAAGAGGAAGAATCGTACGTAAATCATTCCAGTCATTACTCAGTATCTTCCAACTACCCTCAAAGAAATCCCATTCATGAGAATGCAGACAGCTCAGAAAGTCATCAAGAAGTGCATCATGCTCATGACATTGATACTGGCAGACAGACAGATTTTAGGGACTTAAAAAGTAGTGTAAATGAGTATGGTCACATAAATCATTATGATCATGAGGATCAGCAGAACCACTCTCTTGAGGATCATGACAGTAATCAACCCCTGTCTAGTAGCAGTAGCCAGAGGAGCATATCCCCATGGACCAATGACAGTCAAGGTGATCACTCTAGCAGATTTAGCCCATTTGTAGCCCATGAGACTGATGGGAACTTTAACAATTTGTCTGACTATCAAGACCCACAACAGAGCAATTTTGAAATGAATAGAAAAACTGTGTATGATAATGAAGGGTCTTCATATGTTGCTTCTGAAGCTTATCATGCTGACCATTATAAGTCTAACATCACTGATAATGGGGGTGATAAAGAAGTATTAAGAAATCAGTATAATGAAGCAGACACAGCTTATGATCAACTGAAGCTTTTGTATGAAGCTAGAGGTAGAGAACTAGATAAACAGATGTCTGAATTATCAAAGATGAAGTTTGAAAGTAGTCGTGATATTCGGGTGTTACAGCATCAGCTCAATCTCCTAAAATCTGACAATGAAAGTAAAAATGCCAGTGTAAGTCAGCTACAAATTCTTCTTACAGATAAAGATGAAAGACTAAAGAGCTTAGTAAGTGACCTCAATGAAATTAATGACAAACTTAAAGCTGTTCAAGATGAAAACAAGAAGATCCACTTTCAACTAGAAACAGCAGAGTCTACTATATCTAGTTTAGAATGCCAAATTTCTGAATTAAAAGCTGCTGATAGCTTGTCTAGAAATCAGCAGCTACATGAAGATTTTGTTCGGAAACTTCAGCAGGGCAGTAAGGAAGAAAAGAATTTGCTCTTAACTAAATGTCAGGAAGCACAAAGAGAAGTTGAGGCAGGTCAGCAAGAAATTAAAAGATTGAGAGATGAGCTGAAGAATTTAAGAGCAACCTATGATGATGCACTTATACAAAAATCAGAAACTGTAACAAAACTCACACTCACAGTTGAAACGTTAAGAAAACAATACGAAGATCTGTTACATGCTCATGATGTCCAGCAGATCTTAGAGCTGCAGTTAAAAATCAAGACACTTGAATCCAACAAACAAAATTTAGAAAATAAAGTTTGCACTTTAGAACAAGATTTAGCAAAACATAAAGAGGAACTAGATGGATTTGATACTGTAATGAAGTTAGGTATTTGGAATCAAATGGTGACAGAAGAGGATTCTCTGGAGCAGTTGGGTATTAAGAAAACACTAAACTATGATGATACTCACATGGGAGACAAAAAGAAGGATAGCCACAAATTCACTGAAACAGAGGAAAAGCTAATGATAAGGGATGAACTGAAAAGAAGTTTGTTGATCAATAAAGCTAAACGAGATGAGATAAGCATGTTGAAAGAAGAGAGCCAAGAGAAACAAGCCCTGCTTAAGAAAGCTCAAAGTGACCTCAAGGATGCCCTCTTAAAAATTAAGGAACTACAGAGAAGTTTAATGATATTAAAATTGGAGCATTCTGAATGTCAGTTGCAAGGTGATAATGATACCATTGATAATCAAGCTAGTGTTACAGCAATACAAGCTGAAAATGTTTCTCTTCGAAAAGAGCTTGCCCTTCTTCAAAGCCCTATCGGAGAATTAAAACATTCTTTCAAGGAGTTGAGCGATTTGATTCAACATTGCAAGAATAGTGTTCCTAATTCGAATTCAGAAGATGACTCCGTTTCTATAATTAATAGGTATGAGAAACTGCTACAGCATGCAGATTCATATAGAAATTTTATTGCAGATACTGAAAATTTTCAGAAAGAGTTATCTGAGGTCAGAGAAGAAAACCGTAAATTGCATGAAAGTCGAGTTTTGTGGGAGAAAAGAATGAATGACATACAAATCAGATTGAAAGTTTCGGAAAAAATGATTGTTAATGCTGTAATTGATGAAGGAAAAAGTAATGATTACAACCATGCATGTAATACTATTCAGAAGCTGCTTGAAGATATACAGGCACTAATAAAGGTTGTCAAAAAAGAAAATTCTGATGTATATCATGAGAACGTGAATTTAAGAGATCAGTTATCATCTCATCACTTGGAACTGGACAGACTGAAAAAGAAACTTCAAGATATTAGAGAGGAAAAGAAAATGCTGGAGGAAGAAATGATGACTTTGTCTAAAAAGAAGGATGAAGAAAGGGCTTTAGCCGTAGAAAGTTGTCAAAATACGTACTTGAAGTTCCACGAGGAAGCTGTGCGCGAACTGGAGATAAAAATTAAAACAGATTATGAAAACATTGCTTGCAGTCTGAAAGAGGAAATTACTAGACTTTCAGATGAACTGAATAACACAAAAGAGTTGTACATCAAGGTATGTCAGGAAAAAGATGAAATTGAGCATACATATAGGACAGCAACTGAAGAAAAGACAGAATTGGAAAGACAAAAGTCTAGAGATATTAGTGGAGAAACTATCACTTTAACCCCAGATTCTGGTGTTGGAGATAATGAAAATATGTACAAAGAGCAGCCTATTGCTTTATATAAAAAGAAAATAAATGACCTTGAGATAAAATTAGCAAATTTGAAAGAAAAATACAATGAAGAAAACAAGGAAATAGTAACAGAAAAGCAGAATCTAAAGTTAAAATACAGGAAGCAAGTGGAAGAAATTAACACTGTTCGACAGGAATCTTCCAGATCTGTAGAAGAATTACAGAACAGATGTTCTGCATTAGAGAAAGTTAATAGCAATCTGAAAGACCAATGTCAGAGACTAGAGGATGAGATACTGAAAATGAAGGAAAGTAAAAAGTCAGAAAACGAGGAGTTAAGACAGCCTGAAAGTTGGCGCATTTTTTTAGAAAGACAACAAAAACGATTAGATGAAGAAAAAGAAGAAATGAAGAGACAGTATGAGAATCTAATTGAAGAACTACAGAATAAATATACCAAGGCCGAAAGTTCCAAGCTATTAGAAAACAAGGTGAGAGAGCAGGAAGAAGATATGAAATTGTTAGAAAATAAAGTGAGAGAGCAAGAAAAAGATATAAAAACAATTACTGATGAACTTGAAAGAATGAAGGATAAATTCAATTATAGAGGTCAAGAGCATGAGCAGGAAACACAAAGATTAACAGACATAATTCAAAATCTGGAGAGTGAGGTTAAAGAAAAAGAAGAGGAAAATAATAACACAAGAGCTGCTTTCCAGAAGTTTATACAGGAGTTAAAAGAACAAGAGGAATCTTTGAAACAAAAATTGCAAAGAGTTGAAGAAGAGGTTATTAGGCTAAGGGAGACTGAAGGCAAATATAATTCGTTAAAGCTCAAAGTTAATAAGTATCGTGCATCATCAAAAGAGTTAAGTGCTTACTATGAAGAAAGACTAGAGACGCTTGCCACAGAATATTCGGCTGCCAAAGAAACTTTGCTGGAACGAGTCAGGGCATACCTGGAAGAAGTTAAGCAGAAGTGCATCCTCTGTATAGACTCAATAATATCTACTCTTAAAGAGCTTGATAATATGCAGATCTCATTGGATGCCACTCTTATTGAGTTGGAGGAATTGTCCAAGGAGCTTAGGAATTTTTGTCTACACTTAAAATAAGATTGTTTGGAAATACAGTAGTTCCTCAGCAAGATTAGAATTATTTTAAGGATTTGTACAGTATTGTCACTATTTATATTGTTTTAATTGTCTATATTTTGAATAGGTTGTATATTTTCTTGTTTATCTTGTTTCATTATGCTAATGACTACTTGTCATGACTTTACCAAAGATAATATAAGTGTTCAGAAACTTCTGCCAGCTTTGATTATACATGACAGAATTGGAGAACTATTTCAAGTATAGATGAGCAGCTGCTGTTATTTTGTGTAAGTACCACAACTATGTAATACTGATTATTTAATATTTTACTATATAAAAGAGAAAAGGGCACAATATATAACATGGTCTTATTACCGTGCTTACCCAAAACCTCCATTCATGTCTATTAATTTTAGAAGTTTAACCGTTTTATACCTCTTATTTTCCATTACTAGAGATTTTTATAACCTCTATAAAAGCATTTTAGTTCTATTTTTCTTTTACCATGTTAATTTTTATATAAATTCTGCTGTATATTATCGACACACACCCTTTCATATATTTTAATAACTGTACGTAATGATTATTACAAAATTAGGCGACATTTATTCCATACTTTTTGATAAGGCACCGATTATATAGAGAATTTCAGGAAAACTAATATTACTAGAACTTAGGATTTCTTGCAGCTTGCTAGAAGACATGCCCAAAATGCTCATGCATGCTAGCAGCTTTCTTTGTTCTTGACAGTATTTTATTACGTGTAAACTACACAGTGTACTGTACAAAGAATTAAAAGATTTGATTTTTTATTTGATTTGAAAAGTTTTAGGACTGGGTTAATATTTGTATGTTTGTCCTGTATATGTAGTATGCATAGTCATGTGTATGTTATTGTGTTGAATAAATTTAAGTTTTTGAATAATGGTGGGTGTGTATTGTCTAGAGCCTGATTGAGTGCTTCTTGTTGAGTTAGGATGGGTTTTAGGTGCTTTGCTGTTGTAGATCTCCATGCATATATACATACCATAAGCGAGGTAAGGATAGATTAGAGAGAAACACAAAGTAATGTTGGGTGAGGTATGTAGTAATTTATTATTGAAAGAATTCTTACTGTTTTAGAAAAAGCTTTCCTTATTCTGCATGAGTAAAGAGGCTCATCGGATACTCCCCATTGGACTGTATGTAAATAAGATTAATCCGTTCCAGACCCCTACAAACTCTATGTAAATATTGTTCTTTTAAGATTTTTAAGCACAAAATTGGTTAATTATACCGTAGAATGCACTGTGTAATAGTAAACTAAATGTAAAAACCTTGAATAACACTGAGAAAGCTTTGAACAACAGAGAAAACTAACATTGCACGAGTCCTAAGATCTTAGTTTTAAGGTATGTCTAATGGCTGAGCAGTGAACTCCGTTATTTACTGTCTGATATCTTTAATTTTTGGTGTATGTTAAGAAATGTCTTTCCATCATACATTGCCCGAGTTTCAATAAGATAACCCAACAAACAACTTAGAACAAAAATATTTACCAAAAATCGTATATGGCAAGCCCTCTCCGGGGTACTGGCACTGTGAGAAGCTGTTTCGGCACTACCTGCTGATAAAACATTGCTAATCCGAATTTATCACGGTCATAATTTCAGGAAGTGAGGAAAATTGGCGTGTGAAAAAATGGCGGGGAATGTGAAAATTGGCGCAGCTGTGTTTGTTCAGCACTCGAGTGCTGTATAATCCTCTGGGTTTAGCGCTCCCCCTTGATTATAATAATAATAATAAGAGGAGTGATTGGTGGAATGATGATGTGAAGAGAGTAGTAAGGGAGAAAAAGTTAGCATATGAGAAGGTTTTACAAAGTAGAAGTGATGCAAGGAGGGAAGAGTATATGGAGAAAAAGAGAGAGGTTAAGAGAGTGGTGAAGCAATGTAAAAAGAGAGCAAATGAGAGAGTGGGTGAGATGTTATCAACAAATTTTGTTGAAAATAAGAAAGTTTTGGAGTGAGATTAACAAGTTAAGAAAGCCTAGAGAACAAATGGATTTGTCAGTTAAAAATAGGAGAGGAGAGTTATTAAATGGAGAGTTAGAGGTTTGGGAAGATGGAGGGAATATTTTGAGGAATTGTTTAAATGTTGATGAAGATAGGGAAGCTGTGATTTCGTGTATAGGGCAAGGAGGAACAACATCTTGTAGGAGTGAGGAAGAGCCAGTTGTGAGTGGGGGGGAAGTTCGTGAGGCAGTAGGTAAAATGAAAGGGGGTAAGGCAGCCGGGATTGATGGGATAAAGATAGAAATGTTAAAAGCAGGTAGGGATATAGTTTTGGAGTGGTTGGTGCAATTATTTAATAAATGTATGGAAGAGGGCAAGGTACCTAGGGATTGGCAGAGAGCATGCATAGTTCCTTTGTATAAAGGCAAAGGGGATAAAAGAGAGTGCAAAAATTATAGGGGGATAAGTCTGTTGAGTATACCTGGCAAAGTGTATGGTAGAGTTATGATTGAAAGAATTAAGAGTAAGACAGAGAATAGGATAGCAGATGAACAAGGAGGCTTTAGGAAAGGTAGGGGGTGTGTGGACCAGGTGTTTACAGTGAAACATATAAGTGAACAGTATTTGGATAAGGCTAAAGAGGTCTTTGTGGCATTTATGGATTTGGAAAAGGCGTATGACAGGGTGGATAGGGGGCAATGTGGCAGATGTTGCAGGTGTATGGTGTAGGAGGTAGGTTACTGAAAGCAGTGAAGAGTTTTTACGAGGATAGTGAGGCTCAAGTTAGAGTATGTAGGAAAGAGGGAAATTATTTCCCAGTAAAAGTAGGCCTTAGACAAGGATGTGTGATGTCACCGTGGTTTTTTAAATATATTTATAGATGGGGTTGTAAGAGAAGTAAATGCGAGGGTCTTGACAAGAGGCATGGAGTTAAAAGATAAAGAATCACACATAAAGTGGGAGTTGTCACAGTTGCTCTTTGCTGATGACACTGTGCTCTTGGGAGATTCTGAAGAGAAGTTGCAGAGATTGGTGGATGAATTTGGTAGGGTGTGCAAAAGAAGAAAATTGAAAGTGAATACAGGAAAGAGTAAGGTTATGAGGATAACAAAAAGATTAGGTGATGAAAGATTGGATATCAGATTGGAGGGAGAGAGTATGGAGGAGGTGAATGTATTCAGATATTTGGGAGTGGACGTGTCAGCGGATGGGTCTATGAAAGATGAGGTGAATCATAGAATTGATAAGGGGAAAAGGGTGAGTGGTGCACTTAGGAGTCTGTGGAGACAAAGAACTTTGTCCTTGGAGGCAAAGAGGGGAATGTATGAGAGTATAGTTTTACCAACGCCTTATATGGGTGTGAAGCATGGGTGATGAATGTTGCAGCGAGGAGAAGGCTGGAGGCAGTGGAGATGTCATGTCTGAGAGCAATGTGTGGTGTGAATATAATGCAGAGAATTCGTAGTTTGGAAGTTAGGAGGAGGTGCGGGATTACCAAAACTGTTGTCCATAGGGCTGAGGAAGGGTTGTTGAGGTTGTTCGGACATGTGGAGAGAATGGAGCGAAACAGAATAACTTCAAGAGTGTATCAGTCTGTAGTGGAAGGAAGGCGGGGTAGGGGTCGGCCTAGGAAAGGTTGGAGGGAGGGGGTAAAGGAGGTTTTGTGTGCGAGGGGCTTGGACTTCCAGCAGGCGTGCGTGAGCGTGTTTGATAGGAGTGAATGGAGACAAATGGTTTTTAATACTTGACGTGCTGTTGGAGTGTGAGCAAAGTAACATTTATGAAGGGGTTCAGGGAAACCGGCAGGCCGGACTTGAGTCCTGGAGATGGGAAGTACAGTGCCTGCACTCTGAAGGAGGGGTGTTAATGTTGCAGTTTAAAAACTGTAGTGTAAAGCACCCTTCTGGCAAGACAGTGATGGAGTGAATGATGGTGAAAGTTTTTCTTTTTCGGGCCACCCTGCCTTGGTGGGAATCGGCCAGTGTGATGATAAAAAAAAAATAAAAATAATAATAATAATAATCGGCAACTGATTATGTGTTCATGACCAGATGCAAAAATTTGGCAAATTTTTTGGTCGTGAACTGATTCGTTCGTGTTCGGAAGCGTTCGTGAACAGAGGTTCCACTGTATCTACTTTTTATATCCACTGTAGTATAATACAGTTATATGGATTTATTTATTAGCTTGTTGAGCATTGATGTACAGTACAGCAACAGTATTAAGTCCAATCTGGGGAGGCTGTTAGTCTCTGCATTGTGACCTGTTTGCTTTTTTAAAAACAATGTTTACTGTAGAGGTTTGAATTTTTTTGCAGTAATACATAGACACACATTTAGTCTTGATTGATGTTAAATTCTCTTTGCAAGCCATTGTTGCTTATTACTATCTTAAAGTTATTCACTGAGGCCTCATCACTGAACTTAATGGGAATTTATAAATTGCAAGTGGTAATTTTATGTAAATGGTTTTAAAGGAGCTGGTATATATGTCCTGATGTTGTCAAGAGAAGATGCAGTTGTCTTTGTAATTCTCCTGTGTTTGGTTATTCTTCTTCTTTCAACGTACCAGCCGTATCCCACCGAGGTGGGGTGGCCCAAAAGGAAAAACGAAAGTTTCTCCTTTCAAATTTAGTAATATATACAGGAGAAGGGGTTTGTTTGGTTATTGATGGTATTAATAATCCAGTTATGCATGGTAAGGAAACCATTTACTTGCATTGTTATGTGCTCCTTTTTTCTCATGTATACATACAGTACATTTGAAACTTTCATAATCATACTCTAGGACAAGGTTATTTCCATACTCTAATGCTGAAATTTCTTTATTCTTCTAATGTGTCTTCCTTTCACATTTATTCCCAGTAGTCCACTCACCTCCTTACCATATTTCTTATGCTATGCCACAGTAGAAAACTTTTCTTTCTGTCCAGTTATCCAGCACATTTCCTGCTCACATATTACTACCACCTTTGCAACATTTTCCATCTATTTCTTTGACTTTGTGTTTTGGATGAAGCTGTACTTAGACTTCTGAACTAAGACCTTAAAGACTTGCAAGTTTAATTTTTTAAGGTGTATGTATAATGTGATGAGAATAACAAATATTGCTTTCCTTATAATTTTGAAATGTGCATTTCAGTAAAGGATGTCGATTGTTAGCTCTTCAACCACATTAAAATCACTGGAAATGGGATTCCAGGACAAGATTGACACTTTGCAAGTAAGTTTTTTTCATTTATAAATTATGCACTGGATAATGATGTAGAGATATTTTTTACGACCTCGGACAGTCTCCTACCAAGGTAGGGTGACCCATAAAAGGGAAACCCATTGCCCTACCATTCATGTAATATCTGTCGTGCCAGAAGTGTGTGGATGTCACAGCTTTGATGACGGGAGTCAGGAGAATGCACTTATCCATACTTGAGTCCTGGACTTGGAGAGGGCAGTTACTGCACTTTGAAGAAGGGGTGGGGATTTTGCAATTGGAAGTAATCTGAACTGTGATATCAGCACACCTCTGGAAAGTTAGTGATTTAATGAATAATGGTGATTGTGTTTTCTTCTTTGGGTCATCCTACCGTGGGAGATGGCTGTTGAATTTAAAAAATAATTAAAAAATACTGTATATCAATAAATGCATAAGACAAAATGTATGACTTAGTGATACCTCAATGTAATGGACTAAAAAGGAGAAGGGGGTGTCCATTTAAACAAAAATTCATTGCATTAAAGCTGTTGATATCTTGTCTGTTTTCCCTATCATGTTTGTAAGAATACAGGTGTTGTATTTAGTAGAGCTCATCCCAACATCCTGCCTTTGGCCTGGAATGCTCATCCTTGTGAATTAACAGATGGAGAATTTCCCATAAAGCCCTGCCCAGAAGTGGAGGAGGTGGCTGATATGTACTGTATAAGATTTATACTTGTTTGATTTAACCTCTGTTTTGCCATTCCTTGACTAAATAATTGATTACTATGTGGTTAAACACTGATGGTTCATGTGGGTTACACAGTGGTAGCGGGAAGTCTCATTCCCACTAGGTAAGACTGTGTCCCTAGGTGGTCCACAACTTTTAAAGAGTATTCGGTGTTTAAGTAATTGTGCTTTGAGATGTGATCAGCTAAGTGGGTTCTCTTTCATATACAGTGGAACCCCGAGTTTTGGCCTTAATCCGTTCCAGGAGCTAGGTCTAAACTTGAAACGGTCGAAAGTTGAAGCAGTATTTCCCATAAGAAATAATGTAAATACAATTAATCCGTTCCAGACTCACAAAAATATTCACAAAAAATACATTTTTAAAGAATAACTATAGTTTAACATACAGACAACAAATATAAATACTTAAATGAGTAATAGAATACATAAATAAACATTTGAATAAACATTTAAAATCACATTTATGTACCTTTATTGAAGAGTCTTGCTGGTATCTGGAAGATAGGGAGGAGGAGAGAGGGAGTACTTACTGTTTGGAAGGGGAATCACTTCCCTTTGTCTTTTAATGCCATTAGGACCAGCTTGAGAGGCACTGGACCCCTGTCACACAAAATAACTGTCAAGAGTGCTCGGTTTCTGGCGTCTCTTAAGATTTCCCTGAAGTATTTGTATGTTTTTAGTTAAGTATTTTTTAAGGGTACTATGAAAAGTTTAATTACAACAGCAAAATAAATAATTCTGACATAGGTTGTGTAGAAAGTAGGGGCAAGATCGGTTGATTTAAGAGTGCATAAATCTGGGATGGCTGTAGGTTGGTGTATAAAGCAATGTTGCTATCATAGTTTTTTTTTTTTTTTTTTTTTATACTGTATGCCTTTTTAGTATCTCCTTAAGCATATATATTTTTTATATTTCAGGTATGTGCAGAGCTAAGAGGAGGCTGGGGAGGGGATACAGTCATTGAGCTTCAGCAGCTTAGCATGGAATTGCAGACAATGAGGCAAGATATTGCCAATTACAGGCAAATTTTGGCCACTGCTAAGAAAGACATTCAAATGGCACATGATCTTCAAGAGCAGATAAAACAGATGTCATTACGACTTGTGCACATGAAAACAAATTTACCAATCCATTTGCCACATGCTGATGCTCCTGCTTGTGGTGCAACTGCTGTGCCATCCAATTTAACAACCAAAAAAAATACCAGCAAAGATGTACCTCCTAATATACAGGGAAAGGTTTGTAATCATACATATGAATAATTATGACAAAGTACCTGAGGCACTAGCAATGAAAGAACTTTATTTTAGGTTACAGTAAATGGGAATTTTGATTTTCAGGTAAACTTTTTTTTTTTTTCTCAACAAGTTGGCCGTCTCCCACCGAGGCAGGGTGACCCAAAAAGAAAGAAAATCCCCAAAAAGAAAATACTTTCATCATCATTCAACACTTTCACCTCACTCACACATAATCACTTTCTTTGCAGAGGTGCCCAGATACAACAATTTAGAAGCATATATAAAGATATATAACATACCCCTCCAAACCCCTGCCAATATCCCAAACCCCTCTAAAGTACAGGCATTGTACTTCCCATTTCCAGTACTCAAGTCTGGCTATGTAAAAAATAACCGGTTTCCCTGAATCCCTTCACTAAATAGTATTACCCTGTTCACACTCCAATAGCTCTTCAGGTCCCAAAAACCATTCGTCTCCATTCACTCCTATCTAACATGCTCATGCACGCTTGCTGGAAGTCCAAACCCCTCGCCCACAAAACCTCCTTTACCCCCTCCCTCCAACCTTTTTGAGGATGACCCCTACCCCGCCTTTCTTACCCTACAGATTTATACGCTCTCCAAGTCATTCTACTTTGATCCATTCTCTCTAAATGACCAAACCACTTCAACAACCCCTCTTCAGCCCTCTAACGAATACTTTTAGTAACTCCACACCTCCTCCTAATTTCCACACTCCGAATTTTCTGCATAATATTTACACCACACATTGCCCTTAGACAGGACATCTCCACTGCCTCCAACCGTCTCCTCGCTGCATCATTTGTAACCCAAGCTTCACACCCATATAAGAGTGTTGGTACCACTATACTTTTGTACATTTCCTTCTGTCTCCATGGATAACGTTTTTTGTCTCCACAGATACCTCAACGCACCACTCACCTTTTTTTCTTCATCACTTCCATGGTTAACCTCATCCTTCATAAACCCATCCGCTGACACGTCAACTCCCAAATATTTGAAAACATTCACTTCTTCCATACTCCCTCTGTCCAATTTGATATCCAATTTTTCTTTAAATCATTGGATACCCTCATCACCTTACTCTTTTCTATGTTCACTTTCAACTTTCTACCTTTACACACCCTCCCAAACTTGTCCACTAACCTTTGCAACTTTTCTTTAAAATCTCCCATAAGCACAGTATCATCAGCAAATTGTAACTGTGTCAACTCCCATTTTGTATTTGATTCTTGATTCCCCATAATTTAATCCCACCCCTTCCCCCAGCACCCTAGCATTTACTTCTTTTACAACCCCATCCATAAATATATTAAACATAAACATTAAATGAATTTTGGCAATTATTGGAGAACAATAACAGCTTTTGTTTGGCATCGTAGTTAAATTATATTATTGCTGTTTTGGCCCTTCAAGGGAGAGGAGCGACTTGTCACTTGGGAAGAGCTCTTGATTCCAGGAATTGGAGCTTCCTGTTTCTTGGTTCATACCGATTACCTTTCATGTCCCAGGCATTGTATGACCCCTTTGGGTTTAGTGCTTTGTCCTTAGTGTAATAATATCTTATTGGTATAAATAAATAATGAAGGTAGTAGGTTGGTAGACAGCAACCACCCAGGGAGGTACTACCGTCTGCCAAGTGAGTGTAAAACAAAAGCCTGTAATTGTTTTACATGATGGTAGGATTGCTGGTGTCCATTTTTCTGTCTCATAAACATGCAAGGTTTCAGGTATGTCTTGCTACTTCTACTTACACTTAGGTCACACTACACATTCATGTACAAGCATATATATATACACACACCCCTCTGGGTTTTCTTCTATTTTCTTACTAGTTCTTGTTCTTGTTTATTTCCTCTTATCTCCATGGGGAAGTGGAACAGAATTCTTCCTCCGTAAGCTATGCACGTTGTAAGAGGCAACTAAAATGCCAGGAGCAAAGGGCTAGTAACCCCTTCTCCTGTATAAATTACTAAATTTAAAAAGAGAAACTTTTGTTTTTCTTTTTGGGCCACCCTGCCTCGGTGGGATATGGCCGGTTTGTTGAAAGAAGATAAATAATCTTTATTTCTATAGTAGTACATATACAAGGTATACAGCCCATAGCTGACATCATTGACATACTACTACATAGAAAGCCCCTTGTTATGCAGAGCATTTAGGAGAAATTTGGTCAGTTTTGTTCCAGGGTGCAACCCACACCAGTCTACTAACACTTAAAGTACCCATTTTACTGTTGGGTGAACATTGGACAGCAGGTATCTTAAGGAAACATGTCTTGATGTTTCCAATCGTACCGGGGATTGACCCCTGGACCACAGTGTGTGAGCTGAGTACGCTAGCGATTGAGCTACGGGTTTATAAGTTTAGTAAATTTTTTTTACTTTTGACTCATGCTTGTCTTAACATTTATATTTTTTAAGTCTTACTGTAACTGCTTTTCTTGTGCCTGTGTATAAAATTTTTTGTTTTAATAATTCATTGTCTCTCCATTGAGACATTACCTTTACCGCTTCAGTTTACTATTCAGCCAGAATACTCAAATAGGGTAAAAAATGTGACGTCATATTTAGCATAAATTTTATTTGTAAAGAATCTTGCAAAAACTTATTGTGTGCTTTGTTTTCAGGTTTCTGCAAAGGCAGGATCTGGGAAAGAAAGGCATGTCCCAGTTATTGACTATGCTACTGTGGATGAATTTGAATCTGTACCAAAGTACGTATTTTTGGCAAATAGAGCTATGAAGTTTAAGAGCAAGATGTACATATGTTAAGTTGTTAATTTGTATATACACTACATCATGTATGTCAAGCCCATATTGGAGTATGCAGCACCTATATACAACCACATATAACTGAATACACACACACATGAGCTCTTCTGGCAAGGTATAGTCTATAGTGTAATCAAAATGCAGTTGAAAGCTTCCGTGGGCAGTCCGATACTGTGCCTAGGGCAGATCTAATTTCAAGATTCTATTTATCAAAATTTTCAAGCCAGTTTCAACAGTTATTTGTAACATTGCTTTTAAAGATTTTATTTGGTTAGGCATTCAAGGAGTTTTAGAAAAAATTACCAAACAAAATGAGTGCATTGGAGAGAGAAAGTGCAAAGGTTTGATTATATGGAGATGATGATTGATTAATGATAAGGGGAAAAAGAAGAGTGTAAAGAGATCCAACATGAAAGCTAATATTGATAGGTAGTTTGTGTAGGTTATAAGTTTGGATAAGGGTGTTTAGTATAATTAAACTGTCATCTGACAGTGCTTAGTTGAAAACTGATTTGGAAAATGGTTGGAGGAAGAAAAATTTGTCCCTGCAGTATTATTTATGCTATTTGCATACAAATTTTTGTAGGCAAAATAGGAAAAGTTTCAGTTGTGAATAGCAACCAAGTTGTTGTACTTATTGACTTCTATAAATATATGTATATGATTTTATTTATTTATTTATTTTTTTTTCTCAACAAGTCGGCCGTCTCCCACCGAGGCAGGGTGACCCAAAAAAGAAAGAAAATCCCCAAAAAGAAAATACTTTCATCATCATTCAACACTTTCACCACACTCACACATTATCACTGCTTTTGCAGAGGTGCTCAGAGCACAACAGCTTAGAAGCATATACGTATAAAGATACACAACATATCCCTCCAAACTGCCAATATCCCAAACCCCTCCTTTAAAGTGCAGGCATTGTACTTCCCATTTCCAGGACTCAAGTCCGACTATATGAACATTACCCTGCTCACACTCCAACAGATCGTCAAGTCCCAAGTATCATTCGCCTCCATTCACTCCTATCTAACACGCTCATGCACGCTTGCTGGAAATCCAAGCCCCTAGCCCACAAAACCTCCTTTACCCCCTCTTTCCAACCCTTTCGAGGACGACCCTTCCCCTATAGATTTATATGCTTTCCATGTCATTCTACTTTGATCCATTCTCTCTAAATGACCAAACCACCTCAACAACCCCTCTTCTGCCCTCTGACTAATGCTTTTATTAACTCCACACCTTCTCCTAATTTCCACACTCCGAATTTTCTGCATAATATTTACACCACACATTGCCCTTAGACAGGACATCTCCACTGCCTCCAACTGTCTCCTCGCTGCTGCATTTACCACCCAAGCTTCACATCCATATAAGAGTGTTGGTACTACTATACTTTCATACATTCCCTTCTTTGTCTCCATAGATAACGTTTTTTGACTCCACATATACCTCAACGCACCACTCACCTTTTTTCCCTCATCAATTCTATGATTAACCTCATCCTTCATAAATCCATCTGCCGACTCGTCAACTCCCAAGTATCTGAAAACATTCACTTCTTCCATACTCCTCCTCCCCAATTTGATATCCAATTTTTCTTTATCTAAATCATTTGATACCCTCATCACCTTACTCTTTTCTATGTTCACTTTCAACTTTCTACCTTTACACACATTCCCAAACTCATCCACTAACCTTTGCAATTTTTCTTTAGAATCTCCCATAAGCACAGTATCATCAGCAAAAAGTAACTGTGTCAATTCCCATTTTGAATTTGATTCCCCATAATTTAATCCCACCCCTCTCCCAAACACCCTAGCATTTACTTCTTTTACAACCCCATCTATAAATATATTAAACAACCATGGTGACATTACACATCCCTGTCTAAGACCTACTTTTACCGGGAAGTATTCTCCCTCTCTTCTACACACCCTAACCTGAGCCTCACTATCCTCATAAAAGCTCTTTACAGCATTTAGTAACTTACCACCTATTGCATATACTTGCAACATCTGCCACATTGCTCCTCTATCCACTCTATCATATGCCTTTTCTAAATCCATAAATGCAATAAAAACTTCCCTACCTTTATCTAAATACTGTTCACATATATACTTCAATGTAAACACTTGATCTACACATCCCCTACCCACTCTGAAGCCTCCCTGCTCATCCGCAATCCTACATTCTGTCTTACCTCTAATTCTTTCAATTATAACCCTACCGTATACTTTTCCTGGTATACTCAGTAAACTTCTTTTCTTTCAACACACCGGCCGTATCCCACTGAGGCGGGGTGGCTCAAAAGGAAAAACGAAAGTTTCTCCTTTTACATTTAGTAATATATACAGGAGAAGAGGTTACTAGCTCCTTGCTCCCGGCATTTTAGTCGCCTCTTACAACACGCATGGCTTACGGAGGAAGAATTCTGTTCCACTTCCCCATGTAGGTAAGAGGAAATAAACAAGAACAAGAACTGGAAAGAAAATAGAAGAAAACCCAGAGGGATGTGTATATACATATATGCTTGTACATGTATGTGTAAGTAGAAGTAGCAAGACATACCTGAAATCTTGCATGTGTATGAGACAGATAAAAAAAGACATCAGCAATCTTACCATCGTGTAAAACAATTACAGGCTTCAGTTTTACACTCACTTGGCAGGACGGTAGTACCTCCCTGGGCGGTTGCTGTCTACCAACCTACTACCTAGAACTCAGTAAACTTATTCCTCTATAATTTTTACAATCTCTTTTGTCCCCTTTCCCTTTATATAAAGGGACTATACATGCTCTCCGCCAATCCCTAGGTACCTTCCCCTCTTTCATACATTTATTAAACAAAAGTACCAACCACTCCAACACTATATCCCCCCCTGCTTTTAACATTTCTGTCATGATCCCATCAGTTCCAGCTGCTTTACCCCCTTTCATTCTAGGTAATGCCTCATGTACCTCCACCACACTTACATTCTGCTCTTCTTCACTCCTAAAAGATGGTATACCTCCCTGGCCAGTGCATGAAATTACCGCCTCCCTTTCTTCCTCAACATTTAAAAGTTCCTCAAAATATTCTCTCCATCTACCTAATACCTCCCTCTCCCCATCTACTAACTCCCCTACTCTGTTTTTAACTGACAAATCCATACTTTCCCTAGGCTTTCTTAACTTGTTTAACTCACTCCAAAATTTTTTCTTATTTTCATTAAAATTTCTTGACAGTGCCTCTCCCACTCTTTCATCTGCTCTCCTTTTGCACTCTCTCACCACTCTCTTCACCTTTCTTTTACTCTCCATATACTCTGCTCTTCTTATAACACTTCTGCTTTGTAAAAAACCTCTCGTAAGCTACCTTTTTCTCTTTTATCACACCCTTTTACTTCATCATTCCACCAATCACTCTTCTTTTTCTCCTGCCCCCACCCTCCTATAACCACAAACTTCTGCCCCACATTCTAATACTGCATTTTTAAAACTATTCCAACCCTCTTCAACCCCCCCACTACTCATCTTTGCACTAGCCCACCTTTCTGCCAATAGTCGCTTATATCTCGCCCGAACTTCCTCCTCCCTTAGTTTATACACTTTCACCTCCCTCTTACTTGTTGTTGCCACCTTCCTCTTTTCCCATCTACCTCTTACTCTAACTGTAGCTACAACTAAATAATGATCCGATATATCAGTTGCCCCTCTATAAACATGTACATCCTGGAGCCTACCCATCAACCTTTTATCCACCAATACATAATCTAACAAACTACTTTCATTATGTGCTACATCATACCTTGTATATTTATTTATATTAACTTATATTAATTTCCCATATATAATAGGCATTATAGAAAAGTCTCTGCTCTAAATGTCATCAAAGATATGCTTAATATTTGAATCTGTGCTTTTGTTGCTCAAGTGTTAATTTACTTACAAAATCTCCTTTGAGGTACATCCGTGGCCGTCTTCAGTATGATCAGGTAAACAATGCTGTAGATGAATTGAACAAAGCCTTGGAGTGTAAGTATTCTCTCATGTCACGGCCCAGATCAAAAATTTCTGAGGTTGATTGGAGGATCATCACTACTTGCAAGCGGCAGGAGATCCCGGAGACCAAAGGTAGGTGATTGGTATACACCCATTTGTGATTATAAAGTTTCAATTTTTTGTACCACATCTCATCTTGGGTCTTGTTCTAGTATTCCTTGTGGTGCCCTTATGCCAGTAAGAGGGGGGTCTTGATCCAAGGAATTGAGCCTGTCCTCCCTATTATAACCCAGGAGTCCCAAAGGCTTGTTATCCTGGGTGTAAATGAAGTAAAATAAACACAGCAGAAAAACTTTTGACTTGTATTATCCTTCACCAGTTTAGAACAGAAGTATGTACACTATTTACACTATGTACAACAATAGGTATTAGTGCACTCCACTGTAAGCAAGGCAGAATAGAAGCCACTAGAGAGCAGACCGTGCTTCAACCAGCTCTAGAATGGGAATGACAAGGGCAGACAGGTGTGTGGTACCCACAACACCTCTGCGATTGCTAAAACCATCTTCTCATTGGCTGGAACCTGGGTACTGATTGAACGACGGGGCCCCATCATCAACCCTAGTACCTGGTTTGCTGGTTGGGGGAGATAGCCTTTCAATGAGGGTGTGTACATGCGCTGAATAAAGGTTATGTACTCTTTGCATGTCACACTCCCTTTCCTTGGATCAACTGTTGTTTCTTCCCATTCTCCCAGGTGCTGTATTATCCCTATGAATTTAGCACTCCCTCATGACTGTGATAATTTGTGAAGAAAAACTACTTAGTATCCCTTTGAATGGAGTGAATAGGGATGAATGGTTTTTTGGACCTGACAAGCTGTTTGAGTGTGAGCAAGGTAATATTTTGTGAAGGGATTCAGGGAAACCAGTTAGCTGGACTTAAGTCCTGGAGGTGGGAAGTACAATGCCTGCACTTTAAAGGAGGGGTTTGGGATATTTGTTGTTCGGAGTGACATCTGAACTGTTGTATCTGAGCTCCTCTTCAAAGACAGTGATTATGTGTAAATGATGGTGAAAGTGTTTTTCTTTTTTGGGTCACCCTGCCTCGGTGGGAGACAGCCAGCGTGTTAAAAAAAAAAAAATCTTTTATCCTTTTATTATATTGTACAGTACAGCATGTGGTTGTGATTTCAACTTTTTATATACAGCCTCTCCTCACTGAGCGACGAACTTGTTTGCCGACGACTCAGATTTACGCCGGGCTCTGACCAGTATGCATACTTAAATAATGTATGTTAGAGCTGATTTCCTCTGTTCTGTTTATTACAATATACAGTACACTACTGTATAAACATTTAAAAATATACCAGAAATGTTATAAATGGTGCAAAGGTAACATTAAAATAATATCAGATGGTTGACACAAACCCACTACCATTATAGTATGCTCCTCACTTAGCGACGAATTCGATTACTGACGTGATCTTAGGAGCAGAACTCTGTTGTTAAGTGAGGAGAGGCTGTATATCAGTCTTTGAGGGTATTTTTAATGTTTCCAGTTTTTTTCATACAATAGCTCATATTTATTGGCTGTGAAAGAATTTGTAGCATATTTTAGATCTGTTTTTTATTTTATCAATGTGTCATTGTTTTATTTTTAATTTCTTAAAATTAAACCTTACCTCTTCTCATTTACATTTTCCTTGTCTTAATTCTCTCTCTCAACCCTGCCTTTCACAATTCCTATTCCTTTCCTCTTCCTCCTCCTCCTTTCCTCATCCTTTTTTTCTTTCCTCTATCTCTCCAAATCCCTACTCCACCTCCACTTCCCATCTCCGTTTCTCCTTTCTCTGGTTTCTCCATTCTCCTCCTAACCACCTTTTAACCTCTCTTACCTGTCTGAAAGATAATTTTTTATACTTTTTTATTTATACATTACTTAAATATTATCTATTTAACAGGTGTTTACTTTGTGGTTGATGATGACATCAAACGATGGAGTGGACTCAAGTTGGACACAGCTGGAAGATCTACGATTACTGTCTTGCGTACTTTGAAACGGATACGGGAAATACGTGGCCCAGGCAGCCTTGTGAGATTTGCTGTCCTTACTTACATGTAATTTCAAGCATTTGCCATTGTCCATTTTTTCTATTTATATTTTCCACTTCTGTTAAATTAACCACTTCAATCTTCGTTCCATACTGCCATAAAATGTATCTAACCTTGAAACTAATGTGTCCTATATTTGAAATGCCATGAGTGTGTACATGTTTCCTTGGCGGTGTATTCTGTATGTTTGTTTGGTTATCATATATATGTGCAGCAGCTGCCACTTATTTGCAGTGTGAAATAAAACTATAAGGAGAATGAGTATTATTCTCAGACAGGACATGCAGGGTGAAAACGTAGGTGAAAAGAAAACTAGAAAGGGATAATATGAACTGGAAACTAACATTTATTAAAAGGGTTTTGTAGAAGTGAAGAAATTGGAGGTAACCACTAAGTGAGACTGAAGCATGAGCAAAGCCAGTGATGAAGGAAAGCTGTACCCCCATTTTACTATCCTCCAGAGCCGTACCTCTGCTGTTGACTAAGACACCCATTCTACTAAAAAAGTCCTGAAAGTCATTTTCAGTAACAGTAGCCTAACGATCAACTTTCATTTTATGAAAGTAAATAAATCTTTGAAAAATACATAGTGGTTCTGCATCCCTTAGTACATTCTCCAGATGTGTTAACAATCTTTTTATAGTAGAGTATACACATTTCATGTAATATTTTGTGCTGTTCGAGTGTGAGCAAGGTAACATTTATCAAGGGTTTCCGAGAAACTGGTTAGCTGGACTTAGAGTCCTGTAGATGGGAAGTACAGTGCCTGCACTGGGGATAAGCAGTTCAGAAGATAATATGACCTGTGATGTTGGCATACTTCTGGCAAGAGTGATTGAATGAATGAAGGCAAAAAATTTTCTTCTTTTCTGGGTCACCTTACTATGGTGGAAGACTGCTGATGTGTCAAAAACAAAAAGTTGTCTTAGTAGGCCGACTTATATTTTGTAACTACAGTACCTATTAAAAGGAGTCTTTCTTGTATGGAACTTCCAGGTAATTTAGATTTTTTATTTAGATTCGAAAAAAAGCTTTAAAATTTTGGGGGCCAAAACCCCATTTTTTGTCCATTTGAATAGGGACAATTTAAAAAAGAAGTGTAGGGCAACATGATAGTAGTAGGATTTTTTTTGTGTGTTGTTTCAGATTTGGTTTAAAACTTGGAAAAATTGGTTTTTTTTTTTATATTTTATTTAGTTGTAAAAGGGATCATAGTGTTTTCAGAATACCCAAAGGAAAAAATGTTAAAAAATTTTGGGTTTTCAGGGTTATGTATCACTGTACTGTGTGGGTAATTATTAAAAATTATAAATGTTCATTTTTATATGGATCAAGGTTAAATTTTAATGAGTATAGCATTTTGTGTTGAAACCATTGTGGGTATTAATGAATGACACCTTAAAATTTTTAGGTATTGGAAAAAACCCTTTAAAATTTTTATAAAGGATGTATTTTATGTTTCTCCCTCCCCCAGCCCCAAACCAAATTTACCCCCCTTTTTTCCCCCCCCCTATCCATCCCCCCCACCCTTTCCCCTTTTTCCATTTTTTCCCTCCTCCTCCCCACCCCCCCCCTTTTTTGCCCTTCCTCTTTTTGCCTTTGGGATTTTTTCCCACGGCGCGCTGGGTTCCCTTTGGGTTTTGGGGGAAGGCCCGGGGGGGTCCTTTCCCATTCCGTTGGGGTTCTTGGGGGGGGGGTTTTGGCGTAGTTTGCCCCGGGGAAAATCTGGATCGCCGGGGTGCCCCATCCCTCCCCGGTATCCGGAGTAGTTTTGGGGGTGTCTTTTCGGGCGACGGATGTATCTTTTGGAAGCCACCTTTCGGATTCCGGGGGTGGTGGCCGAAGGGGTTTATGTTTTTGGGGCCCGGGATTATCCGGCCGCCCTCTTTTTTGGGTCCCCCCGAGGTACCCTCGGCAGTGTGAGGTTGCTTTTTCCCGGATTGTGGTTTACGGGGGCATGAAGGGGGGGGTTGGGGGCCCAGGGTTTTCCCGGGCTGCATCTGCGCTATAGCGGTGTAAAGGCCCTCTTGGGCAGGGGGGGAAAAATTTTTTCCCCGGGGCCCCTTTAATTCCTCCTGGGAACTACTACCCCCCGCTCCCCCCTTTTTTTATTCTTTTTTTTTTATTTTTTTCTTTTTCTTTTTCTTTTTTTTTTTTTTTAAAAAAAAAAGAAAAGGGAGTAACCTAACCAGGAAAAACCCAATCCTTAAACCCCCATTCCCCCGGGGCCCCTTTTCTTGATCCCGCCCCCCATTCTGCCCCCTCCCTTTGTGTTTGGGGCCACCCCTTCGGACACTCCTGATGCCCCCTTTTTACCTCTTGCTGGTGCCTTTTTCCCTTCACCCCCCCTTCAGGTACCGGGGCTTCGGACTGATTTCCTTCGATTTGTCTAAACCCTCGCCCCCCTTTTTGGGACTTTTGCTTCCGGCTTTCCCTTTTAGGGGTTTAGGGAAATTTTCGAATCGCCCCCCCTTTTCCCCGCCAGCCCAACACCGGTCCTACCCAAAACGCCAACGTAAAAATCTCCTGTTAAAGCCCCTTGGTTACCTTCCCATTTACTCGAAAAAGGGCCGGGACACGTCAAGCACCCCCTCTCCACGCTCAGTTTTGGCCCACCCAATGGCCCAAAATTTCTTTATTTAAGACCGATTCCCTTCTTCTCCCCTCCCTTTTGCCATATTTTTGGGGCAAAGCGCTCCTGCGTCATGTGGTTAAAATATTTAATTTCATGCTTCAAGAGCGGTCGCGCTTTCGTCACTGCCCAGAATGCTACCCAAGCCATGATCTTTTTCCTTTGGGAATATCGATACTACTCCTACACTATTAAAAAAAACATCTCCCCAATTCTTTTTGGGGGTTACTGCCCATTCTCCCCCCATATTTTTGCCCAAACAAAAATTTTCCCGGGTCATGTGGCAAGGGACTTTTCTTAAACAGCTGGAAACTCCAGGCTCCAATCCTCAAAGTAGACCTTTTGTCCTTTTGCCCGGGCGGGGAGACGTTCCCTTGCAATGTGGCTCTTTTTTAAACTTTTGACAGGAGAGTTTCCCGCCTCTGTTGGGGTTTCGGGGGGACTTGGGGTTAAAAAAGTTCGAAAGGTGATCCTACCCGCAACATTGTGGGAAAAATTTGCTGGCCCTTTTTTGGTCACCCAGCAAAAATTTTTGAGATTATGGCCAAATCCCCAGTCTTTTGGTGCCGACGACCATTTTTTTAATACATTTGCATTTCAACCCCCCATCTTGCCTTAATTGAAATTTGAAGCTCCCCCTTTCCCTACTCCCCCCGTTTCCCAGGTCTACTTAAATGAACTTTAAAAATTCCGTTGCCTAAAAAGAGGCAAAAATTTTTCCCTTTTAATTCTATGGCAGTTACTCATCTCCGCCCCCAAAGGGAGATTTCCCCCGTTTTTCTTTTTCTCGTGTTTCCAAACATCCCCCCACTTTGGGGTCCCATCTTCTGCCCCTCCTCTGTTGTTACCCCCCATACCCACCCCCGGCTTTCTAACCCTTTTGCTGCCCTTTGGCTCTGACGCCCCGACAAACAACTCAGTTTTTTCTCATATCTTTGCGTCCTTCCTCAAAAGGGCCCCCAGCTTCGACAAGCTTTCGTGGGACCCTAATACCAATCCCCCCCTCACTTCTCAAAAGTCCAAAAAAATCCACATTGCTAAATTTCTTCTTTCCCCCTTTCCCTTTCCCCTTCTTTCCCCCCCAACTTTCCCCCTTTCCGTCTCTGTACCTAGTTCTTTCCCTTCTCTGGCCCCTTTAAAGTGGGGGAGATTCACCCTCCTCCTCTTTACTATCCCTTTCCCACCCCCGCCCCCTCCCAAGTTTCTCCCTCTTCTGCCCCCCCCAGGTTTCTGCCTCTTCGGGCCCCCCCCCACACTTCATCTCCAGTCCCTTACACTTTTCCCCCTCCCTTACTTTGGTACAGTCCATTACGGGCCCCAATCTTTACCCCACCCCCCCCCTTCTATCTCCAATAGGGTCTCCCATACATTTTTAAATTTCAGAAACACTTAAACCCATTTCGAAATATTGCAGGGGGGACAAACCTTCAAGGCACTGATTCACTTCCTTTTCCCTTTTTTCCCTTCCTCCTTTCTCAAAACCCAAATTCTTCGCAACGTTTCCATTCCTTCGGGGCTTGAAGTTTTTCCAAATGCCCCCACACGTTGCCCTTTTCTAACCCCCCCTAGTCCTTTGGGGGTTTTTACCTACGATCTCCTGGTAATTTTTTCATCCCCAAATCAGGGCCTTTTTACAGGGGGAATTTACCCGCGGCCTCAGGGGAAAATCGGGGGACCCTTCAGAGTTGTTTTTCCAAAGGTTTTCCCCTTTTTTGGGGGTTGTTTTAAACAAGAAAAAAAATTTTTACACTCGGCTGTTTCCAAACTATCTAAAGGTTTAAAATTTTTAATTGTACCTTTCGGCCCTTTTAGAGGGGGCCCTTTAATAAAAGTCCCCCTTTTTCCCTACGCAAATGATTTTCCCTTTTTACTGTAAATTTATTTGTCCTTTACCCGCTGCATTCCCTTGCGCTCTTTCCCAATTGAATAAGGGGTTTCAATATGTTCTTTATATCTCTCTCCTTCTCGAGCTTTTTCTACCCCAGACTTTGCCTTTTTTTTTTTCATCCTTTCCACCACCATTCTGTTACTTGGGATTTTTAAAGCCCACCTTTCCTTGGGGGGGTCTCCCTTGTGACTCCCGGTTGGGATCCAAATTGGGGTTTTTCTCACCTCTCACCCCCTTTCCCTGTTTTAAATTTTCGGGTACTCCCCCCATTTTGATCCTGTTTTCAATTTCTTCTCTTGCAAAAATCTATCAGTCTGTTTCCCCCCACTGCACTAGGGGCTTAACCTGGTCTGTTCTACCGGGGGCTTACATTTACAGCGATCATTTTTTCCCAAAAATTCTTACTTTCCTTCCTATAACCCCTTTCGTTTGCTCCACTGGCAATTTGATTTGGGGGAAATTGGGATCTTTACTCAACCTCACTGCTTTTTTGAGGGGGTTTCCCTTCCCTTTATCCCCCATTGATAAGCTCCCCACATCTTCTCCCACGTAGTTTTTTAAACCCCCAGCTTTTCATTCTATACCCCCAAAACCCCGGCAGGATTTTTCAGGGAAATGCGTTGGGGCCTTGGGGGTTTCCTGCTTGTTTCTTGGGGCAGTTTGTTTGAAACACGCCGATGGGGCAAGGGACCCGGGACTAGACCGTAGTACTTTTTTTGATTTTTTTAAAACAAAAAAGCGTGCGATGCTTTGCCCCTGTATCCGGTTTAAGCCCAAAGCACTTGTTGGGGGGGGGACTATGTTTCCACCAAACACCTTTGCCCTTTTTCTATAAGTGCCTCTGGAAAAAAATGAGGAAATTTTAGTTTGGGAAATTACTCTCCTGACCCGGCTTTCCCGTTTTTACGGGTCGCTGGTGTTGATGTGTAAACCCTCTCGCGTTTCCCTTTTAACTTGGCAAAAATTTTTGGTCCGTTTTCCCCGGGGGGTCCATCTATGCCCCCCGTTTCTTTCCCCCCAAAAATCTGCCAGAGAGTTTTGTTTCCCTTGGACTTTTCTTCTCTCAGAGTAAAAACAGTATAATGTGCCCTTTTTTTAAAATTTAAAGAAAAAGAAAGGGACGCTCTCGCTTGCCGATCTTTGGCCCGGGTGGGCCCCCCGACGGCATTCATATTGTATGTTAAAAAACTTTTTCATCGGGGCAGCCCTTGTTGGCCTTTACCCCCTCTTCAATCTTATTTGGGACAAGGAAAATTCTTCCCCCGTGGGAAAATCTTTCCCTTGTTCTCCCTTTCCGCAAAAAGGGTAATTTCAGGGAAATGATGGGGCCCCACTATTGTCCCCTCGCCCCCCCCCCCCCCCCCCCCCCTTACTTGTTTCAGTTTTCAAAGTGATGGAACGTTCGTAAAAACAAAGTTTAAGGGGGTATTTTTGAGACCACAACGTCTCTCCCCTAGGGCAATTTTGGCCCTTTGTAAGGGTCGTTCTA